GCCATATTTTTCCTTTTTAAGTTTAAATCATTTTGTATTTTCCCCCTCCTTCACATAGTCCCTCTTTCATCTTCACAAGCTTTAATTTTTAAAACATGATCTATCCCCAGAGTATTTAAAGAAAGATGAACTTGTGGTGAGAAATAGATGAAAACAGAGTACTGTAGCATCTACTCCATGCAGGTGAACATGTAGTTGGATTCATGACTTCTGAAGCATTCTGGTATTAGATTTCAAGGATAAGTATGTAAGGGAAATTGTAATTCATAGAAATCTGCAGTGTAGTCTTGTACTTTTAATTTTAAAACTTGCAGAAGAATTGGTGAATTTGGAAGATTTTGGCATTTACTTATATAGTAGTAGAATTGATTGATTCTATGAAGCTGTGCTGTGAATTCCAAATATAAACACAACATTCTAATTAGGCTTTACTATTTATTTTTAGCTGTATGCTTTTCCTCTCTCTTGCCTTTAGTCATCCCTTTCCCCCGTCTTGAATGCCATGTTATTCCTCTTTGCCTATTGATCAATTGAAATCCTAACTCTTTTATGGATTGTTCTCCATTGATTCCAGCCAGATGTTATCTCTCCTGTCTTTGAATTCCTATAGCAGTACTCTTTGTACCTTTTGGGGTATGTGTGAGTATGGTACAATGAAAAAGAACTCTGGATCTGGAATCAGAGGACCTGGGTTCAAATCTTGTATTAATCTTGGGCAAGTCATTTCCCTTCTCTTGCTCTTAATTTTTTAATCTGTAAAATGAGGGAGGTGGAATAGATGATCTCTAAACTCCCTTTGAGTCCTAAATTTGTGATCCTGTGTCAGCACATTTACCTTGTATTTTACTTATCTATGTGTCCTCTACTGGGCTTTCTGTTCCAGGAATTACAAAGAGGAGATACATACATATACATATATACGTGTATATATACTTATGATATACAACTGTGCCTAGCATAATGCCTTGTATATCATAAGCACCATCAAAATATTTGTTGAATGACTTTTTCCCCTACTGTGACTTTCTTCTCTTTACTCTCTGTTTTGTACAGTTAACACCTTTTTATTTATTATGCTATTCTCTTAATTATCCATACTATACAGTTAATGTCCTTTTTAACATATTAATGTTTTGTTTATATAATATATAATATTGCACTGTTCATTGTTTCATATATGAATTTATCTTTGCAATTGGGTTGCAAGGTCATTGGGACCGATACCTTAATATCTCATGGTGTAGAGAGAGACTAAGATAAATATGGAATAGGTCCTCAACAAGTACTTATTGACTGATTGGTACTTATTCAAAAGAGGATATCATAAATAATTGATGACAGTGTTGGGAAAGAGTTTATTGTTTTTATGCTATTGTTATGCCTTTCTTCTGGAGATTTCTTTTTATTTTCTTTCACCTCATAGTATTTATTTATTCTATTGGATGATTTTTATTACTTTCCCCTTTTTTCATGTCTACTAGTGTTTCATGGTTTTATGGTAAATACAACTAAAAATATTTTATGCTATTTATGATTATTTATATTGTTCAAGTTGCAAAAGAATACTTTTTCATGTCTAGGGGCAGGGTTGGGGAAAGGAGGAAGTCCCATGTAATGTCTACATACTTTTTAGGCAACCATTGATTATAATTGTTGGTTACCTAAAGACCTGTAAATGCAGGTCTTTCCAACACCAGGTTTTGTATCCATTATGCCTATATTTCAGTAGATGTGGACTGAAAATGGTAATAATGATCCCTTTATATTCATGATTTGAAACTTTCATATAGTTTCCCTTCCTTTCATATTATCTTTCTCCTCATTCATCTTATTTTTTTGTTTTGGCATTTTTGTTGGCCATTTGTCTTTAAATTGTTTAGATATTTGCCTGTTTTGAAGACAAAAATTGGAAAAATATTGTTAGACACGTGATTAGATAAAAGCCCTATTAACAAATAGGTTGTCATGTTCTGAATAGATTTCTATCTTTTTTTTTCTTTTTTCCTCATTATTTATATATTTTATCTTACTGCAGCAGATAATTATCAACAAAAATCTAAAGAAATTCTTCACAAAATACATTCCTTCCAAAATAGTTAGGGGAAATGGCCTAGCAGAGTGATTGTGACTGATTGTATGTTTTCCGGAATAGTTGAAGAAAGTCAGAGTTCTAATGGGGAAGGGAATAAGCATTATATAATACCTAGTATAGGCCAGGACTGTGCTTTACAAATATCATCTCATTTACTCTACCAGCAGTGCCTGTTTTCCTACAGTTTTTCTTTCCTACAATTTCTTACAACATTTAAACTTTCTATTTTTTTTTAACCATCTCAGCCAACTTTATTAATATATAGTGATAATTCAGTGTTCTAATGTGCATCTCTCTGATTATTCAGGATTTTCAGGATTTTTCAAATGGTGAATGACTATATATTTCTTCTTTTGAAAAGCATTTTAAAAATATCTTTTGACCACTTGCCTATTGACAAAATTTTCTTATTCCTTAAGAATTTTTGTCTTTCATGGAGATTGCAGATGTTGTACTAGACTTTAATAAGAAATGTTTAATGCAGTTTTTCTCCCAAACATAGCCTTTCTTGTTGCTTCATTGATTGGACAAAAGTTTTTTAATTTTATATAATCAAAATTATCTAAATGGTCTTTTATAATCTCTGCTATCCTATGCCTGGTTATGCATTTTCTCCCTATACACAGTTCTGCTTTCCACTTTTTAATGCTCTACTTTGATATACTTAGATTTTTTTTTTAGCCATTTGGAATTATTGTGGCATATTTATTAGATGCTGGCCTGAACTCATCTTTTGCCAAATTACTGTCTAGTTTTCCAGGTACTACTTGTAGAATAAAGTGCAGCTGTGACTAAATCATTCCCTTGCTCAAGGAGCTTTAGTCATCCTCCATTGCTTCTGAGATCAAATACAAATTTTTGTTTGGCATTTAAAATCCTTCACAGTTTGATTCCTGCCTATTTTTCCAGGCTGATTATATATTTACTCCCCTTCGTGCACCATATGCTCCAGCCAAACTGGCCTAATTTTCTTTTTCTATACATGATATTCCATTTCCCTCATCTGTGCCTTTTGTACAAGTTGTCAGCTATGCCTGGAATTCTCTCTTTCACCTTGACTTCCTTGAATCCCAAGCGTCTTTAAGGCTTAGGTTACGTGGCATAACCTTCAAGGGGTCTTTCTACTATGTTGTTAGAACCCGCTAGTCATATCGGAAAAGTCTCCTGGCTACTTTTAAGATTCTTTAATAATAAAGCTCTGAAAGTTGATAACTGTATTTCTGGGTACATTTAATTTGAATGACTCCTGATGGTATCCTCTGAGTTCTGCCAATTTACAGCCAGCCTTCTCTTTTCAATACTTCTGGGCAATTTTCCTATATGATTTTCTAAAATCTTACTTGGTTCTTTGTTTCATCATGATTTTCTTGGGGATCAGTAATTCTTACTATCTTGCCTAATTCAATCTTCAGAGTCTGTTAACCTTGGTTTTGTAGAGGCTACAAGTCTTCTGATTTTGTTTTCTTTTGATTTTGTTCTGATATTTATTATTCCATTTTTTTCATTTTTGTGTCCCACTTCTGTGATTTTCTGCCACTGATTTATTAACATTTTCTACTGCTTGCTCAAAACAACTCATTCACTTGGTAAAATTTTTATTTCTTATATCTACCATGTTTATATCACCCTTTAATTGTTTTATTGAGCTACTGGAGGTTATTGTAAATGTTTCTGGGGGAATCTAATTATTGTTTTTATGTTATTGTTATGCTTTTCTTCTGGAGATTTCTTTTACCTCATAGTATTTATTCATTCTATTGGATGATTTTTATTACTTGCCCCTTTTTTCATGTGTTTCAGCAAGGTTTTCCCTATGAGGGATTCTCCCCGGCTCTGACCATTTTTTTTATTGTTGATTTAGTTTATTTGGTTCATTTCTTATTGAATTTGATTTAATTCAGCAAGTATTTATTAAATGCCTGCTATGTGCTAGGCATTGTGCTAGGTAGGTACTGCCCTTGAAGAGCATACATATTTTTGGAGAGAGATAACTTGAAATAATAGAGTGGAATTGGGCTAAGACAGAAATTTTTTAAGTGTCCCAGAAATACTACTATTACAATGATCCAACGAACATTTGTGAAATGCCTCATATGTGTTAGACTCTGTGCTAGGTTCTTGGGATACAGATAGCAATGCAACAATCCCTGCCTTTAAGTAGTTCATATTTTATCAGGAGGGAGGACAACATGTATATAGATAAGTATGTAGAAAGTAAGTGCAAGGTAATTGGAGGTGTGGGGAAGGAAGGCTGGAGAGATCAAGGAGGGTTTTCTGCAGATAATGGCATTTGAATGGTATTTTGAAGAGAAAAAGGGATTCTGAGGCACAGATGAGGAGGGAGTTCCCTGCAAGTAGGGTGGGCAGCCGGATAGAATATTCTTTGTGAGGGATAGCATAGATTAGCATGAATGACATTTTGGCTGGACCATAAAGTGGATGGAGGGAAGTGAGGGATAATTAGACTGGAAAGGTAAGTTGCGGCCAGTTTGTGAATGGGTTTAAACACCGCATAGATTCTTCAGGGACTCTTTTCTTGGGCTTTAGGAAAATCCTTTTTTTAATTGCTTGGAGGACAGATTGGAGAGGGGAGAGACCTGATACAGGAAAACCAACTAGGAGACTTTTGCTGTAATCCATGTGGAAGGTGATGTGGGCCTGAACTAGAATGGTAGCTTTGGAAATAGAGAGAAGGGGGTAGAAGTAAAAGATATTTTGGAGGTAGGAACGACGAGATTTGGTGACTGATTTTATACATAGTCTGAGTAGCAATGAGGAGTTGAGTATGAAACTGAGGTGATAAACATGGGTGGCCAAAGGGATGGTGGTACCCTCATTAGAAATATGGTTTGGATTTGTAAAGCCAAAACTCAACTTTCCATGTAATTAGAGTAAATTCTTACCACAGGTGAATGACTTCACAGTTGGAATGAGCCATCATCTCTCATCAATTTAATTAATTGAGATAAAAGTAAGTACTATTGTTTTCCCATTCAGCTATGCTTTTTGTATTCTAAGACTATTTTATTGCAATAGCTAAGCATAAACATTATGCCTAAATGTTATTTGAACTTAGAGCAAGGTTTAAAAAATACAAATATGTAGTAGCATCAGGTATTTTTCTTCATTCTGTTTAACTTTTCTCAATAATTGTCAAATCTAAAACTCAATTTTCATTAGTCCTGAGTCAAACTTTTAACTCATACTTCATGGGACTTTGTGGGATTCAGAGAAGCTTTTTATAAAAGCCTTTGCTTTTCTTATCTGTCAGTAACTTCAATCACAGGCACAGAGTCTACTTTGGATGTTTAGCTATTTACTTCCATTAATTAAAGAGATACCCTTGACAATCTTTCTGCCTCATCTATGCTCAGCTTTATGATTGTTATTTGAAACCTTTGTTTGTCAGTGGGAAGTCCCAGCCCAAAGGCTTGTAAATTTGTATGTGTCTATGTTCTGGGGCTACCCCATGGTTTCACATTCAATGTGCTGCCCCTGTGGGGGGGCACCAAGAATCCTTGCCCAGTGACAGGAGCAACAGGGAGAAGCAGTTAGAGCTGGGCTCTAGTACCTACCCAGTGTGGTAGCAAGGAGGGCCATCCACATGTCCATGTCATTCTCAGCCTGCCAGAAGTAAGCAGCCCGCCTGGGGGTCAGAGTCCACCTTCACACTGATCTTGTTGACTCTAGGCATTGGCTGCATCACAACCACCTTCTTCTTACCCCAGTAAGTTTCATTTTCCTGACTGGAGCCAAACCATTCCTTCTGAATCTGAGTCATATTAAGGACATCTGTGTCAAGCAGTGCCTCCTCAATGCTCTCAAATTCGTCCTGCTCAGTCCCTCTGGAAGCTACAAAAGAGAAGACATCAGGTGGCATGTGCAGCCTGGGGGGTGCCACATAGTGCAGGCTGACTCGATACTGGGTGAGTAGGCAGGCAAGGGAATGTACTGTCCATCCATGTTTGAGATCTCCTATCATTGTGATCGTCATGCCATTGACAACTCCTCTAGAATGGTAAAGACATCCATCAAGGCCTTTTAAAAAAAAAAAATTTAGCATTTTATTTTTCCCAATTGCATGTAAAAACAATTTTAACCTTCACTTTTTACAATTTTGAGTTCCAGATTCTTTCCCACCCTCCCTCTCCTTCCCCATAATTAAGAAAGCAATCTGTGTGTGTGCCTTTTTCTTTTTTGGGGGTATCAAACACCTGGTTCTCAAAATAATTGTAAATAAATAAACGTCCCTTTGCTCAAAAAAAAGCAAGCAATTTGATAAAGATTACACCTGTGCATTGTTTCCATGTGGCATTGAAGACCTTATCTGTAGCTCCTTGTCACCACTATGGGTTGGTTCTCATATATGAAAGCTTCCTGCTTATCCTGAGAAAACTTACATTGCTAGAAAGTACTACCATGCTCAATCAGACTAAAGCATATGTCTCCTTTTTCCTTGCCTAAAATCATAGATATAAATTACAAAACATAGGAATAATTATAGATATAAATTAAAATACATAGGCATGATTAAATGTGCTTTGCTTTTTTCCAGTTTTGTGCTTTGTATTTCCCCAGATAGCAAAAGAAGTTTTGCAACCTAATTTTTTTTCTATCTTTATTTTTTACTCTTTCTCATTTAAAATTTGCCTTCTTTCTGTGTACAAGTTCTTCTTGTAGAATTTGAATTAAGACAGGAACTCTTTGTGTGTGTGTGTGTGTGTGTGTGTGTGTGTGTGTGTTTTGTTTTGTCTTTTGTTTCCTTACTTCTTAGGGCAGTGCCTTTTAGGTAGTAGGTAATGTTCAACAAACATTAATGTTTGTTGAAATGAATTGCTCTTATTAAAGGGCCAGCATAGAAAATAATTTTTTAAACACATTCCAATAAAGCCAAGATTTTTAAAGTTATAAAGTAGTTTTTCATAGTAACTAAGGTAAAAATTTCAATATTCTGACAACCTAAGAAATCTTAAATAATAGGCCCTAGGGCCTAGGCCTATCAGAGAGTCCCTAATTTTTATTTAAAAAACAAAATTTAAAGAGCATTTTCAATTCTATAATGAATAATAAGTTCATTTCAAACCTAATTTTCAGCCTGACACAAAGAAAATGTATTAGGGGAGTTGTTCTTGCTGTTGTAGAGTGAAAACTGGGCTGACTGTTCCCAATGAATGGAATGAAGAAACAATGCTTGTAGAAGGTGTTTCATAAAATGTATTTCTATAACACATTGTGGCAATTTCTTATTATTTGATACTTAGTTGAACTTTATTTAACTAAAATATTTAATTTGGAGCATTTAAATTTAAATTTAAAAAATTCTTATCTTCCTTTGTTCCCTTTGATATCTAGTTCTTTTAAGTTCTAATAGTGTATTTTCTATATGAAGGTCTCATATTTTGCAATAAATATGAGCAGAAAACTTTCTTAGAGATATTTTTACAAATCTTCCAATGTATTTTAATAGAAAGTACTTATTTCTGATACCATTCTCTCTAAGGTTACCAGTAATTTTTAATGGTCAGATCCTATTGCCTCTTTTCAGCCTTTATAAACTTTGTGATTGCTATACAACATTTGGTCACTGAACCCATCCTCTTTTCCTGGATATTCTCTCTTCCCTGGGTTTTTGCGACACTATTCTTCCCTGGTCTACCTACCTGTCTGAATTATCCTCCCTTTTTTTCCAAGATCATTAACTATGCCCTACCCCCTTTGCCTGAGTGTCCTCTCTATTTTCTGTTATGATCTTGTCTACTCACATGTATTCAATTATTATCTCTATTCAGTTGGCTCCAAGATCTGCCTTCATTCCTCATCTCTCTCTGAGTCCCACAAAACTAACATCTGTTGGACATTTCCAGCTGGATGTCCTGCAGTCTTCTTAAACTCACTATATTCAAAACAGAATTCATCACCTTTTATGTTCAACATTCTGCTTTTCCTGACTTTCCTAAGTTCTGTTGAAGGCATTACTGTCCTTTCAGACATCCATGTTCACAGTCTAGGTCATCTTCAATTCCTCTCTTCTTCATGTTCCATATTCATTCTCCTGCTAGATTTTGTTGATTCTACTTCCACATCTCTCTTGTACATTCTCTTTTCTCCATTTCTTGAAACACCACTCTAAATCTCCCTACTTTTTTCAAATTTTCAAATTTTGTTAAATTACGTATTCATTAACATCTGTTATATAATTATTAATGAGATGTATGCTTTTAAGTAGTATGTTACTCTTTCATCTGAGGCCCTCAAAGAACTTTATACATAGTAATTAACTAAAATTCACAACAGCTTCTTGAAGGAGATAATTAATCTATTATATACTGTAGAAGAAATTACATTGAGGCATTAGGAAGTTGTTCAAGGTTCCACAATGACTATGTCAAATCTCATAATACAGACCAGGATAACTTGGTTGCTTTCTGTAAGCACTAGACTATTATTATCTTACCAATAAGTCTAAGAAAAAATGGCCTTAGTTCTTAATTAATATCACCTAGAAATTTATAGAATAAATGATTTAAATACTGGAGAAAGGTAATCAATCACATGATTGAACCTGTTAATTTGAAAGCATCACAATGTTGGTCATTTTCAGCATTAGGTTTTTTTGAGACTAAATCAACTCTTTTTTGCCTTTCAAAATCTCTTAAATTTCTTTTGCATGTGTGATTTTTAAAATTGCTTAGCTTCCTTAATACTAGAGTAGATTTTTCTTTGAAGTAGAACTGGTATAAACTGTGTCATTCGAAGTTTTGTTTGGCTGTAAATGTTGGGCAATTGAAACTTTTTTATCCATGAGGAAAGTAAAAAAAAAAATTCAGTTGTAGTGTTAATGTTTTTAAAATTTTTTAAAATTTTTTTCCAATTTTCTTTTCCTCTTCCAACTGAACAACAAAGAATAAAATTCTCATAATATATCTATTGGTCAAAGTGAATTCCATTATTGAGTGTATCAAAAATATATATGTTTCATTTAGCACTATGAGTTTATCACCTCTCTGTCACAAGATGGGCAACATGCTTCAGCATTGGTCCTCTGGAATTCTGGTTTGTTATTACATCAATCAGAATTCTAAAGTCTTAAAAATAAATATTTTTGTACAGAAGGCTCTTTTTCCTTTCAGTCATCTCTTTGGGATGTATGATGAGTTGTGGTACTTCTGCAGCAAAGGGTATTCATCTTTAGTGACTTTTTTGGGCATAGTGCCAAATTGCTATCTAGAAAGGTAGGACCCATTCATAATTTTACCAGTGGTGCATTAATGTACCTATTTTCCCCATAGCCCCCAAAACTTTGTTATTTTTATCTTTTGTAATCTTTTTCAATCTATGAATATGATGAGGAAGTTGAATTGCCTTAATTTATATTTCAAAAAAATTTGTGGTTTGGAGCACTTTTCCCTTGATGTTGGAGCATCAATCCAAGTTGATAGCATGGATTTCTTTGAAAAGTGCCTGTTTATATCCTTTTGCCATTTACCAATTTAAGGAATGACTCTCCTTATAAATTTTAGTCACTTCCATATACATCTTGGAAATGAGACTTTTATTAGAGAAAATTATTGCAGGAATTTTTTTCTCCATTTATGTGTTTCCTCTCTAGTTTAACTACATTGTTTTTGTTTGTTGAAAACCTTTTTATTATTAAAATCATTCATTTTATCTTCTCCATCCCTTGTTTGGTCACGAATCCCTTCCCTGTGAATAGATCTGAAAGATAATTTCTTCCTTGAGTCTCTGATTTACTTATTATGTCACCTTTTATGTCTGTTATGAATAAGTTTGGAATGTATCTTGATATTTGGTGTGAGATGTTGGTCTGTACTTAATTTCTGTCATACTACTTTTCCAGTTTTCCAGGCAATGTTTGTGAAATAGGTTCATCCTTACTCCATTAACTAGAGTCAACTCTTTAATTATTACAGATGAGAAACTGAGTGCCAGAGAGCTTAGGTGACTCTAAGT